TGAGGTTATTTTTGTTATAATTCAAATACTCATAACTTAATTTTTTCAAATGAAATTACCCAATTTTTATTTTACTAAATAGAAGAGAATTTAATTGTGCATTGATCTGTATTAACATTTCCTATACCTAAATTTAATAATTTTCAGGTTATGGACTTTTTTTTAAGACTACAGAAATTTTATTACTAGCCATACATATCAAAATTTTCTCTAAACAAACGTCAACAGTAAATTACTATTTGACAAATAGTGCCAAAATATGGAGAATCAAAGTTATGCAAACTTAATTATTATTGATAGGTTCTGCCATGCGATCATTATTTAAAGCTAAAAAGTAAGAAAAAATTATTTTTGTTTAATGAACGACGTCATAATTTTGTTACACTCTCCATAAATACAAAATAAATTAATTAAATCTAAGTTTGAGTAGCTTTGACTCTACATATTTTGGCACTATTTGCTAAATAGTAAGTCACTGTTGAGGTTTATTGAGAAACAATTTTGACATTTTTGATTTCCATAGCAAACTATACGAAAACGTAATAAATTTTCGGCAATCTTAACAAAAGTCACCATAACTTAAAAATTATTAAATTTTGGTAGAGGGAATGTTAATACAGATCGATGCACAATTAAATTCTCTTCCATTTAGTAAAATAAAAATTGGGGTATTTCATTTGGAAAAATTGAGTTATGGGTATTTGAATTATTACAAAAGTAACCTTAAAATTATATGGTTTGTTAATTTTTTTTCAAAATTTGAAAACACAGGAAGAAAGATCTAAACTGTATCTTTCAAATGCCAAAAAACGAATTCAAAATTTTAAAAAATAGCAGAGTTACCGATTTTTAAAGTGGAAGGTGCAGATCCAAAAATTTTTAAAAAACTCAAAATATTTCAAAAACGGCTAAATTTAGGTATAGGGAACGCTGATGAAAACTCTCTTAAAATAACCCGATTAATCCAAAAACGCAGTAAAAAATATACCTTTCCATTTAAAATAAGAAAGTTGAGACCGACTTCCGGTATAACCGGAAGTGCCGCCGTTTTGAAAATATTTTCATTTAGGAGGACTTAATGCATTATGGCTTTGTACCAATTTTCAAACAAATATGATTATTCGAACTCCCAATACTTTTAATGTGGGGTTTAGACGGAACAACCTGTATATGGCCATTGATCGTAGATAAAATTTGGTTGTTTTCCTTGTTTTTGATTTTTTTTATTTCTGTGCTAGGTGTATTGGAAATTGGGTGAAGACGGAGCGAAAATCCCTGATCAATGGCCCTCCAATTTGTCCACAAATATTAATGTGAATACTCCTATGAACCTCACTATCAGTAATGAAACCTTTCAAACATACATATCGGTAAGAAGCTAATTACTATTGATTTTCTAATTGATATTGGATGATTTATAAAAAACAGCAGTAGAATTTTACTTTCCTTATCCTATAATCCGGCAGTTGGCACTAATGCAATTTTTTTCCATATAAGTAGGATAAGGTAAGTCGTGTGATTTTTTATTTATGACCCGATTTCAAAAATGAAAAAAAATAATTAAATGGCTTAATTAGTACAAGCTGACAATTTTAGATTTTTTCTAATAAATGTCATACTACTTGTGTGTTTTGGACTATATTCAACTTTCTCATTTTAAATAGGGACCTATATTTTTTATGATTTGGAATTTATTATTTTTTATTTTATTTATTTTATAAAATTTTTATTATTTATTTAATTTATTATATTCAGCTTTCGATTTTAACAGAACTTAGTTTAGATTAAGTACAGAGTGACTCAGCAAACCATTTTTTAAATAACTTTCAAAGTTTTCAATCGTTCTGGCGCACCCTGTATAGCCTAAAATGTACTATGACATTTGGAAAACTTATAAATTAAAAGCCAGTTAATTAATTTTTTTAATTTTTCAAATTTTACAGCGCCTCACCATGATTTTGCGACAATAATCATTTTGAACCATAAATATTCGAATTGAGTTGTAACTTTTCGATATTAAATTAAATGATTTGAAATTTACCAAACGAGCGAAGCGAGTCTTAAAACTTTTAAAATAATCATCATTAAGAATTAATACTATGTTTATTTCCGATATGTTATTGTATATCAGGTGAATTAAATTTTCTCAGTCCATAAAAAGTACTTTTAATTAAATTAAAATTATGAAAAAAATTATAGATTTTTAAATAGAACAGTTTGTCCATTTTTTTACTTTAAATTTGAATTTAGAATTTTAATTAGAAAGAGGCCCTATAGATAAAACTTACTAACTTACTATTTACACTTGAGTGCAAAAAAAAACCCAAATTGTCAAATTTTTCAGATTTACATAGTTTGAAAAAGTTTTTCCCAAAAAAATTAATTTGATAGAAATTTGGAAGGTATAAACGTCATTTTTTGTAGTTGTAATAAAGGTTTGCGACTTGAATGGATATTTCAAATACTTTTTTAAGAAAAAAATTTAAAATCGTTTTTTAAGAACAATTTTTAGAAATTTTTTAAATAGAATAACTTAACTATGAATTTTTCGACAAAGACTGTTTAAATAGAATTAAATTTTTGTCAATAAAAATTTGCATTTGAGTTACCATTAAAAAAACTAAACAAAAGAAAAATCTAAAATTTTAATTTGTGAAAAACGCTTGAACACCCCTTGTAGTAAAAAAAAATCGATTTTTGGATCTAAAAGGAGAATTTATTGGTAACGGAACACAATTGAGTTTAAATATGAGTAAATATCAATACCACTCTGTATGTTTTTAGAATAAAATAACGAGAAAAATCATTAAATTAAATATACAGGGTGGTTCGTCTAAACCCCACATTACAAGTATTGGGAGTTTGAATAATCGTATTTATATGAAAATTGGTACATAGCTATAAACCATTAAGTCCTCCTAAATGAAAATATTTTCAAGATGGTGGCACTTCCGCTTATACCGGAAGTCGGTCTCAACTTTCTTATTTTAAATGGAAAGGTATATTTTTTACTGCATTTTTGGATTAATCGGGTTATTTTAAGGGAGTTTTTATCAGCTTTCCCTATACCTAAATTTAGCCGTTTTTGAAATATTTGGAGTTTTTCAAAAATTTTTGATTCTGCACCTTCCACTTTAAAAATCGGTAACTCTGCCATTTTTTAAGATTTTGAATTCGGTTTTTTGGCGTTTCAAAGAGAAAGCTTAGATCCTTCTTCTGGTGTTTAAAAATTAAAAAAAAAAACATATCCCATAATTTTAAGGTTACTTTTGTAATTTTGCTATTTTGAACAAAGTAAGTGTTCTGAAAAAATACCATATCTTGAACCCCAGAGTTCACCGTTGTCTTTCAACCCTTCTGGACGAACCAACGATATCGACGCTTTACTCAACGTCATCCACCACGCCGAAAAATTGATTTACATCGCCGTCATGGATTACTTCCCCTTGACCATTTACACGCCAAAAATGAAATTTTGGCCGAAAATCGACGATGCCTTAAAAACAGCCGCCATCGAAAACAACGTCAAAGTAAAAATGTTGATCAGTTGGTGGAACCATTCGAGATCGTCGGAAGACAATTTCTTAAAATCACTTGCTTCCATTAATTTGGCGTATCCAAGAGTATCGATCGAAGTGGTAAGTGTGAGAAAAAAAAAAAGAAAAACACATTGTGTAACACTAATTCTTTTTCAGCGACGGTTTATTGTGCCTTCAAACAAGGAACAAGAAAAAATACCTTTCGCTAGAGTTAACCACAATAAATATATGGTTACTGACAACACCGCTTTTATAGGCACTTCTAATTGGTCGGGAGATTATTTCATTGATACGGCGGGGGTTTCTTTTGTTTTGCATGATCCGGTGTTTGACAGGAATGGCAGTGAAACCACTCTAAGAAGCGAACTACAAGCCGTATTTGAAAGAGATTGGAACTCTAATTACTCATTTCCATTAACATTTTAAATGGTTTACTGAGACATTCAACTTGTTTAATTTAAGACAATTATTTTTCCCGTTTACACGCCATTTTCTACTTTTTTTCTGTTTCATATTTAAAAATTGTAAGTGCCTCATTAAAATTGTATTTTTTTAAAACTTTTGCTCATATAAATCATGTTAAAAATAACACAATGTTAGATATGTTGTTTGAATCTTTGCGAAAATAAATTTTTGGGAACTAAATGTGTTGTTGTCCAAGGGGTCATTAAAGTTGAAGTGGAGTGCACGTCGATCATTAAAGTTGCACTAGAGTGTACTTCACAATTCGAATTGTTTTTCAAACCTAATTACACAATTATCAAATGGAACAAACAAATATTGATTAAAAATGCTTAAAGTACGATTTTTTCATTGGAGTAATTGTAAATAAGCCAGAGAATTATTATTAATTTAGTTCAAAGTTTGTGACTTTAGCCACCTGTCTGTCATCTGTCACTTCGCCATTAAAAAAGTGTGGTTATGTGCGTGTTATTGAACTGTATCAAATTTCGCCCCAAATAAACCCACAAGTTGCGTTTTGGCCTTGCAATGGAACTCTCGCCGCCGGTGAAGCCCCCTCGGGGCGTGAAACCGGTCAAGGAGACGGTAAGTTGTCAAACTTCCGGTGCCCCAAAACGCCCCTTTTTCCCAGAGCGGTCTTCTGATGTCGGTGATTCGCACCCTGTCATCAAGCGAGACCAACGAACAGCGCGACAAAGAGAAATCAAAATTGGAGAGCGAGTACAAAAACTGTGATAAAAAACTCGACGAATTGGTGTCAAAACATGAAGTGGATTTGGCTAAAGTAAGCAAAAACGCCGATAAAAACACTGGAAATTCGATTAAAATCGCAGGTTATGCAACAATTCGCTTCAATTTCCCAAATCGTGAGCGACAATCGGCTCAAAATCGCCAAAGTGAAGGAGAATTTGCAAGATTGTAAAAGGAAGTTGCGTTGTCGCAGGGACGAGTTGCGGAATTTGTGGCTTGAGGGGCTCGAGTACAAGTACATGCTGCAACTGCTCGAGGAAATGTAATTCTCGTAATTGTTTTAATTCAATTGAAAATTGAAAATTTCAGTGAGAAAATGAGTCAAGTGCCTGATCGTTTATCGAACTTTATGTCCCACAAACAGTATTTGCATGCAACTGAGTTGCTTGTCGAAGCTGTCACTTTAGGGAAGAATACTCTAGAAGGCGTGGAAAGTCTCAAAGAGCTCAGTCGCGAATTGGAACAAAAGAAGGAGCAACTCCATTTGCAACTTTTCACCGAATTGAAAGAGCATTTGTTTACAAGGCCAGCTCAGAGAATTCTGGCTCTGAGGAGGCAGGAGTCGGGGCGTGAGAATTTCATGATAAATTCACCTTTGCAGAGGAGCACGGAATTGAGATTATCGAGGAATCGGATGACAGTGAGGAGAAATATACTAGAAAGCGCTCAAAAGTATTATCAAATTTTAAAATAACACAGGGAGACAAAAAAAGTCATGTCGTGACAACTTGTCTCAGTGAGACAAATCAAATGCACTAAAAAAAAATTCAAAAAGTCCACACACTTAGAACTAAATAATTTTTTTCTAATTTAAATGAATTTAAAATACTAATTTTAAAAAAATCATTACTCAATAACTATTAGGCCGATTTCCTTCAAATAAAGACCATTATAAAGGGATGGACTTGCCCTTTAGAATGATATGAAATTTGAAATTAAATATTGGCAAACTTTTCTTCGGACAGTGTTCGAAGAAGTTGGAAGTAAATCGAAGAAATCTAAGAAAAACCCTGTTTGTCACCATCGTGTAGAGCATCTTTTTATTAGTAAGAATCCAAATTTTTAAAATAATATAAGTAGTTTTTAAGATATGATTTTTTGAAGTTAAGGTTTGCTAATCAAGTATTGCTCCATAAATAGAACAGTTTATCCATTTTTTTACTTTGTTTACTTTTCATAATTTTAATTAAATTAGAAAGAGGCCGTAGGTATAGATAAAACTTTATTTTATTTTATTTTTATTATTATTATTTATTATAATTATTTTAATAATTGAGTAGGCAACCAATTATTCACATGAAATTCAATAGTTCATATTTTTCCAAATAAAAAATTGTTCAACGATAATAATTAACATTTTTTTAGTTTTACAATTTACTTTGCGTTTATTGCGTTTTTTCTTTTATTTAGTACTATATGTTCTACTTTTACTAATTATTGTTTAAAAAAATATCAAAGTTGAAAAAAAATTTGTTGCATAGTGTATAAAAAATTGACGTTAGCAGTAAGCTTATTAAAAGTAAACAAAACAAATAAATAATAATATAATAAATAATTAACCAAATTAAATGTTTTTCCGATTTGTTATAAGTATGTAATTAGTAGAAATTTGAAAAAAAATTGGCAATATTTTCTTTCATTTGCTGATTTTTGACATTACAATAAAAAAGCTGAATATAGCCTAAAATTATGACATTTGGAAAAATTATAAATTAAAAGCAAGTTAATTAATTTTTTTAATTTTTCAAATTTTACAGCGCCTCACCATGATTTTGCGATAATAATCATTTTGAACCATAAATATTCTAATTGAGTTGTAACTTTTCGATATTAAATTAACTGATTTGAAATCGAACGAGCGAAGCGAGTCTTAAAACTTTTAAAATAGTCATCATTAAGAATTAAGACTGGTTTATTTCCGATATGTTATTGTATATCAGGTGAATTAAATTTTCCAAGCCCATACAAACTACTTTTATTAAATTAAAATTATGAAAAAAATTATAGAYTTTTAAAGAGAACAGTTTGTCCATTTTTTTTACTTTGTTTACTTTTCATAATTTTAATTTAATTAGAAAGAGGCCGTATAGATAAAACTTTATTTACACTTGAGTGCAAAAAAAACCRCAAATTGTCAATTTTTTCAGATTTACATAGTTTGAAAAAGGTTGTTCCCAAAAAAATTAATTTGATGGAAATTTGGAAGATGCCTGACAAATATGAAATTGTGAATTGTGACAAGGTCAACGTCAATAAACTGACATTTATTAACAGGAAAATTATAATAAAAAAAATCAATGTGCGTTTTTTTGCACTCAAATTTATAAACGTCATTTTTTCTTGTTGGTATAAAGGTTTGCGACTTGAATGGATATTTCAAATACTTTTTTTAAGAAAAAAAAATTAAACTTGGTTTTAGTTGAGAATTATTTTTAGAAATTTTTTTGTAAACCTATTAACTTTTGACAAAGACTGTTTAAATAGAATTAAATTTTTGTTAATAAAAATTTGCATTTTGGGTTACCATTAAAAAAAAAACTAAACAAAAGAAAAATCTAAAATTTTATTTTGTGAAAAACGCTTGTTTCCATACATAAAGGAGGCTCATATAACGTCTTTGATCTACCTACATACTGTAAAAATATCACTTTAAAAGTGATAAGTAAATCGAAGGAATCTAAACGAGTAATTTTTTTTTTCATCATTACCATCGTGTAGAGCATTTTTTTATAAGTTGTAATCCAGATTTTCAAGCATTTGCTGAGAACATTTAAAAAAAAAGTTCAGAAAGCTAGAACAAAGTGAACAAATTTGAATCTGAATGGAAAGTGATTTAATTTGAAAAAGATTTGTTCTTATATTTAAAGCTACTGCTTTAAAMTTCTMGATCCTTTTTGCTCAATGATCAGTGATCATTTTTAGAACAAAAAAACTCTTTATTTGCTTTAATTAGTACCTAGGTACTCTTTGTTTGTT